CAGGCAAAATGCACCTCAATTAAACAGTACCATGAAAAGTACACTGCATTCTGCTTTCAAAGTTGCACAAGCATCTCTCTTGCTTTTTTTAAAAAAGGTAGGAAACCTTTATTCTCTTTGCAAAGACTGAACGAATATAGTAAAAAGCATCAACAAAATACTCCATCCTTTTCCAAACTAGGCCTACATCAAGAATAAAAATTACTGCTTCACATGGGCTGCTGCAATGTTTTCAAATACAGGAAATGCTGAGGATCTTGTAAGATGATGGCAGAGGCTCCATTTTCTTAAGAGGAAGATAAAGGCAATTTGGGGTTCCCAAGATTAAAAAAAAATATAGTGCTGTTCAGTCACTTGCCTTTCTCCAATTGTGTTACTGTCAAGCAGCAATGTAGTTTGTTAGGCAAAAATATTTCTTATTCTACCCATTATGAGAATCAGAAATTATTTAAATCTTTATTTTTCCACTGGGTAAAAAAAGGTTTAAATTATAATACCAAACCTCTTGTGCTACTTCTGTTCCCAGGTCTCTATATCCTAGAGGAACAAACCGACCAGCTTCAGTGGCAAGAGCTCAAAATGAATTCATTTTTGTAATATAGAGTGCAATCTCCACATTTTTTTAGGTTCTCGCCTACAGTGGGCTGTCATTGAGAAGGTCCATTATTAGATAATAGAAGACAAAGGCAGTAAGACATAACTGCTATTCAATACACTTGTCACTTAAGTTCAAACCGATTCTCATCAATTACAAATTACCTTGCTGATTGAGGTCCTTAAGAGTTTTGTTCCCTTACCTATTCAACTGCCTTTCAATTTTGGCCCTTATGAAAAAAGGCCGTATTTGAGCTCTTTAATCAGAGGCCTCCAAATTGGACAGCCCTGCCATTAGTGATAAAGAAACACTGCCTCTCACACCTTTTTCTGGACACTGCTTAAATTCTATGCAAGCAGTTTTACTGGTATCTTTGTAATCTAAAATCCCCTTTAACTAAAATGTAATCCTAAATCCAGTAACCTAACCTATATTCTGTGTCACAGGCATGAAGGCCATTTCTGTCTGATGTATAGCAGCCCCATTAAATACTAATATAATATTAACATGTCACTGAGTATAGAGTTTGGAAATTTTTCATGGTCTACAGAAGTCACAGCATAATCTATGTCTCTACTGGTATTACAAGGGCTTAAGAAATGTAAGCAAGTAACAAACAGCTTAAAAATATGGGTATGGACATATGACACATTTTCACCAGGGTAACTTAAATCAGTTTATACGCTGATGTAAATTAGAGTGGTGTCCAGAGCAGACCAAAGACTAGCTCTCTTACTGCAGTAGGTGCTACTAAGGCACCTCCCCACAACGTGGCAGAGGAAGCAGAAATAGCTATTTGCTCAAGGGAAACTGGATAGGAAATTAGGTAGAAGTAAGGATGCATACCCACACTAAGTGTAAACTACACCAGAGTCTGAAGGTACACCTGATTTTGAGGAGTAACTTTTCTCCAGAATAGAGTTATTTACACCAGGGCAGGACTATATATTGTCTCTGCTCCACGCTTAAAATTGTGGAAAGGCAGATGATACTGATGTGCCACATGTCTCCATCAAAAAGTATAATATGTGAGCATTTCTCTTGTGGAGAATAGCAATTTACTCTACTAATTAATCTTCCCAAATCCTTGTCAATGGAATTTCAGCCCCAAGTTAAAGTTTAAACACTTTGAAAATTCCTTCACTTGATTTTTTCAGGTTGTACATAATGGTACCAGCATGGCTACATAGCATTTTGCCTTGATAAAGCATCTAACACATATATTAATAAGTAAAGTAGTTGACATACTTGGTGAAAGCTTCAGGAATAGTGCTGGGGTAGGGTATTGGTCCCTTCTCTTCTGATGGCAGTTTCTGATCTACAGTGAACGTGTGATCTTCCACCACAAAGGACATCAGCATTGGCAAGAATCTGGTGATCAGTTCAGGTTCCTTAAAGAGACAGAGAAGGGGAAAAAAAGCCAGTGCAATATAAGAACACACAGCACTTACATAATTCATTTCATCCAAGGAACTCCAAATGGTTTAACAAGGGTAAGCAAGTGATACACCCACACTTTTTCCCAGAGAATAAGGTGCATGATTTCCCTGTGATCACAAAAACATATTCAGTGCCTGCTCAAATCATCAGGTACCTCTCTTTTCATATATAACATATATACGGTGTTAGCATGCATAATTCCTCCAAAAATACCACAGGGTTTTACTCAGCAGAACAAATTCAGTTATCTGAATAAATTTTTGGTGGGAGCTAACCAAGGATGTATTATCACTATGAGGCTGGTTAAGTACTGGAACATGTAAGCTAGAGAATTTGTGCAGTCAGTCACTGGAAGATTTCAATATAGGTCAGAGAAGCATTTGTTTGGAATGGTTTAGCTAGGCATGTTCCTACCTTGAGCAAAGGGCTGAACTATGTGACCTCCCTTCAGATTTTAGGAAAATAGGGCTAGAAAAGACTATGATTTTTTGCTTTGATAGTACTACTTCATGACATTCATATCTTCTCCACCACATTTGTCTCTATACGAATGCAAATACTGGACGCAAAGGGTCTTTGTAAGGACAGAGTAATTTGATAATATGCACTAATCATTTTTAATTCCCCTAAACGTTGATCACTGCACAGTTAGTAGTGTGTCTAAGCAAATATGCAGTGACCTTTTTCCAGCAGCTGAAAGCTACTTGTTTTGCTGCAAAATGAAAATAATGGGAAGCAGAAGTTCAAGAGGCCACAAAGTTCATTTAAAAATGGAGCAACTTGTGGAAAATCCTCTTGAATGAAATCCTTGCATGGGTCCAACAGATTGAGGACCTTTCAAAATAGACTATGGCAGGGGTTTTCAACCTTTTTTAACCCCTTCTGTCTCAAAGTTTCACCTCATGTACCCCTTTATATTTTTATTTTTAAGAGGTGGGGGGGGCGGGCAGATCAAGGCCCCTCGGTGGGGGAGTGGGGCAGAGACAGGTGCTGCTCAGCAGGGCGGGGTGCAGGACGGATCTGCAAGTGGCTCGTCTGGGGAGCATGAGGAGGGGGTCGGCTCCCACCGCTGCATGCACCCAGGAAGGGCATGGGGCGGGGTGTGCCCCCACATCTGCACATGGGGGCGAGCGGGTTGTTGCTGCAGGCTGGGGTGCTGGGCTTTTCCTGGCAGGGCCTGGGTCACGCTGTGCTTGGGTTGCGTGGTGGCAGCGGCAATGCTGGGAGAGGGTTTGGGGTGGGGCTACAGTGAATTCTGGAGTGGCTGCAGGCCCCCCTGCCCTGCCGTATCCCCTCTCCTGTAGGCCCCTGTGGTGAGGGAGGGAGCGGGGCTGGGCATGTTTCATCGCCTGAACTCTGTGCAGGGTGAAACTGAGGCAGGAGCCTGGTTGGGGGCGCAGTGCATGGTGGCAGTGCCTGCCTCTGCCATGCTTAGATGTGTTTGGTGCCGCCCCACGTGCTACAGCCCTGGGCCCTGCTCTCTGCATGGGCTGAGGCGGAGTCTCGGCTTCTGCTGCTCCTGGCTCCACCCTGCACTCTGCCCGTGGCTGCAGGGCCCACTGGGGCTGGAGTGGGTGGGCGGGAGCTGCACCTGAGGCCCCCTGGCTGCTGCCCTGGGTCCCCCCTGCCAGACGGCGCCACCAATTCTTCCCCTCCAGCCCACACAGGCACGTGGGGACCCAGGACAGTGGGGCTGGGGTGAGAAATCGGGCTATGCATGCCCACCCAGGGATAAGGCCTGGGCTCCGTGCTCAGGGCAGACCCCCCCAGGGCCCACAGTGCTCGGGCCAGCCTGAGCTGCAGGAGGGGGCAGCTCATCACCACAGCTGAACAGTAATTCACAAAACCGAATAAAATATGTGAATCATAGAATAAACATGTGGTCAGCCAGAATTTTAGATATCCAGGGCTTCAAGGAACCTCCCTGGGGAGATATCTGGCTGCTTTGTAGCACAGAAGAACAGAAGATAAAAAATAATTTTTGGAGGGTTCTTTTTAAGCCAACACTTACTGCCCATGATTGTGATCACATTCTTTCCATAACCTCTCTCAAGCTGGCGAAGACCACCTTAGGTGCTAGCCAAAGGGAAAGTACAGGGAAAGTCCTCTGAGCAATCCAAAATACTCTTTTCTAGAGGCTGACTGAAATACCTTCATTACATGCCTACCACAAAGACTTGGAAGGCACAAGTGTTTCACCCTGAATGACAAGTCAGTGAGTTGCTAGATTTGGGGCCAACCCTAGAAGTACAATTTTTTACACAATTATGCTTTACTGTCTTGTCACTTGGGTGAAAACTGCCATGCCTTTTGAACAACTGGGGCTAGTTTGATCAGAAATAAAACTTGGCTCTAAGTGCATTATGGGATAGATGTTCAAGGAGAACAAAAGAAGCCAGGCAAAGTTTACAGAGCGCTCATGTAGAGTGTCACCCTGTTTGTGCAGGCAAACAACCCTTACAAATTTGGCAAATGCTTATAGTAGAGGCACCTGGAGAAGCTGACACTGATGTTGTTTTAACCAGCAGGGTCAAGTGCTATTCCAGATTTCCAAGAAAAGCTCACCATTTTAGGCTCTCTGAAGACTTGACTATCGATCATATCCCAAGCTCCTTGTCCCAGAGACAGCATCCTCAGCAGCAGCAGCAAGTCTGGGCTTTCCTAGAAATTCAAGTACAATAAAAACTATTTTCTTTCTCTTGGTTTCTTTACATGTTGAATCTTGCTTGGATTGAGCAGAATTATCAGAGATGTCAGATCACAAAGATTGCTAAAGGAAACTGTTTATTTGTTTATTAAGCTGAAGAGGGACTCCAACAGTTGCCTGCACTACAGAACACACCTCAGCATAACATATATAAAATCTATCACAGGATTGGCTTTATACTTAAACCGCCCCCAGAAACACAAACACCATTTATCTGACACACTGATTATCCAGTAAAATAAAATGATCTGCGCTGGCATATGTAAAAATCCAGAAAAGATGGTACACAAACAGTAAGAGTTGTATTTACATTAGTACATTGAATTCCCAAGTGATTTGCGTGCTTACAACATGATGTAAAACTTGTTTAATCTGACAGTGAAATGTAGGAACATTTCCTCCGTTTCATCCCTAGAGTGGCTATTAGGGCTGTGCGAAGTTTCAGTCCCTGATTTGATTCAGTGGAGATTTGGCCCGATTTGGTGGCCGAATCTCTGAATGCAAATCAAATCAGAGGATCCTTTAATCTCTCCAAATCTATCTGGAACCCTCCAAATCAATTTGGACAGATCTGGCTGTTCGGACATGAGACAGCTATAAATGTTTTTTCTACATACCTCTAGGTAGAAGGGGCTCGTGATCGCTATGGTGCTGGGGCATATGGAGCGTCCCACAGAAGCATAGGGGGCTCGCCAACATGCTTGACAGCAGACCCAGAAGTGGACCAGAAGCACTTCTGGGTCCACTGGGGAGTGTGCTGGGGGCCCCCTGCACCCCTTGGCTTGGAGATTGGTGCCTCCTGGGTCTGGGGACCACCTGGAGTACTGCTGCAGCTGATTGCCAGGCCAGGGGGCACGGGGGGACTCCCCGTGCGCTCCCTGGCAAAGGACCAGAAGTACTTCTGGTCCGCTTCCGGGGTTGCTGCCGAGCATGCTGGAGAGCCACACGCACTGCTGTGGGACGCTTCATCCACCCCAGCACCGCAGTGATCACGAGCCACGCTGCTACCTCAAGGTATGTAGAAAAAACTTTTAAAGTGTGCCTGTGTCTGAATCGCTGATTCAATGCTGATTTGGTGAATCGGCAGATTCGGATTCGGCCAAATCGAACTGGGGAGAGTGATCTGAATCAACGGATCGAATCACTGTCCCTGCAGGGGTGGAGTGTGACAGCTGAAAATTATGTCTGTGTGATAAAGGTGCTTGCTGAAGGCTCTATGAAGATTAGACCAAGTGTTTTTCCATCATTTGTTCAGATATTAAGCTATATGCTGTTGTTAAGAGCCTAATTAAAGTCTAAGATGTAGTAAAGCCTTGTATAAAGTAAGGCCTAGTAAATTTAACAAAGCCTTGAAGTAGTAAAGCCCTGTGGCACAGTTAAAATTAACCTTATGAAAAGAATGCAAGGCTTGTACTGCTATTGGTCAGCTTAAGGACAGCTGAAGTAAAAAGAATCTGAATGGCTGTAAGTTATCAGCATAGCTCAGAAGTTATAAATTGGCTGGCACATCCGGAAATCATTTAGAAGGAAGATACAGCTCTGCGAAAGGAACTACTAATTAGCTGTTGACCTGGATCAGTGGGCCCGTGAGTCTCGAGGAGCCCAAGGACTGAATACCAGGGTCCTTTCCGGTACCTCTTGGACAGAGCTGAGCAGGGACGCCTGACTTCACTGAGCTTTGTGGAAAGAGAAACTTGTACATCAGACATCAGAGGGGACTGCCGATAAGCTGCAGACGCAAATTATTATCGTTTGTCATTACGTGTCTTAGTATATTATGCGTAGTTTTGGTTTTGTTAAGTCAATAAACCTTTATTACCTTTCTACCCCCGACCGTACTCTCAATCCCGAACCCTCTGCAGGCGGCTGGGACAATTTGAATTTGGGCAAATCAAATTGGGGACAGTGATCCAAATCAACAGATCAAATCGCTGTCCCCGATTTGGGCCGAATCGGGATCTGAATCTAACAGGGCTCATTTTGCACATCCCTAGTGGCTGTCTACCTAGATCCTTGGTATGGCTCCCATCACCATAATGTCTAAGTGCCGCTTAAAATTATGTGTACAGTAAAGATAACTCTCTTCAGTTATACCACTCAGTAGGACTTGGACTTTAGTATATCACCTACAGCTTAGTACAGTGTAAAACAAGCCCCATATTAATTTTAGATACGTAATAAAGGATTCTGCAATTCTAAGGAGGATTTAAGCAGGCAGAAAGCAGTTACCTGCAACCATTCATAATTGTAAGGGCTTACTATGCATCTAGTTCATAGTGAGCAAGGTGAAAATGGACAGTCAACTTGGGGAGATCCCACCCTGCAACTGAATTGTGATCAGGGCTTAAGGGTGACCTGTGCATAGGTCTCTCAGACTTACCCTGGGTAAGGTGTCTTGCCCAACTAGCTCCTGTAGGTTTCTTATAGTACTCAGAGCCAAGGTGTTAATGGCAAAGGGATCACACAAGATCATGGATAAATCCCTAGAAGGAAACAAAGTCACAAATTATGAAGACCATAACCCGATTTCACATTCAGCCATAGGATTAATGCTACCCAAGAATAAATTTGTTTACACAAGACCTTTGATCATGTCTCTTGCTTAGTTGCACAATCTGTCAGATGTGAGAGACACTATATACAGCTTCAAGGCATCTAAAAAAGGATACTCTGCGATAAAAGATTCAGTGGGGGGAGGAAGACAGGGAATAAAAATTATTATGATATAATTTCACCTGTTCTATTAATTTGTATTTCTACCTTTGGCCACTTTTAGGTACAGCAAAGCCGTGTTAACCGGCACTTTATTAGCCAGAAAACTCTACTAACTGGCATCCGAGGAACGGGGCAAAAGCAAAACCGGAAGTACCACTTCCGGGGGACTTCTAGTTTCGCCACCATGAGCCAAGTTTTTCTTTGTCACTTCTTTGGCCCACGGCCCAGGACAAAGCAGCCTGCACGGGGCCCCATTCCCTGTCCCCTGGCACACTGACACTGGGTAGTGCACCAGACCGTGCACATTTGATTAACAGGTGTCCCCCATTTCCCAGGGGATGCTGGATAAGAGAGCTTTTACTGTATTTAGTTAATGAACCAAGTTGTACCTGACAAATATCCTTTTGATTTATAAATTAAGGGGCAGTGGCCAGAATTAAACCTTGGAAGCTGGATAACGAGTAAACCCACCATCCTGTGAATGCATTAGAAATTCCTCCATATAGTCCTGATTTAATTCTCAGCCACTGTGGCTACTGAAAGTATCATTAACAATTCTTAAGTGAAACAACTTACTCACCCCAATACTTGTTCTTGTCCTTTTTTCACCCCATCCAGAAAACCTTGCAATTCCCGAGCTCTCTTGTTGTCCACAAACTTCTCCCGAATACAGGCATCTAGGCACCAGGTGAACTGCAAACATAGGAAACTTGCTTAACATGCCCATGGCTTCTACACTAGCATTAGAATACGAGTCATTGAAGGATTTTGCTGTAATATTGGTGGTTCACTATTTAATTAAATAGAACTGCAGAAGCCTTTCCCACCCCAGAGGTTGTACAGGCTTTACCATTACATGCAACTCGCATAGTTTTCAAAAATCATAGCCTTAGAATGAAATCCAGAAAGACACCTTAGGCACCTCCAATTTAGATATTGCAATACCTAAAAATAAGACACCTGGCCACAGTGGGATGTTTCAGAGAAATGGAGTTAGGCACTTACACATCCTTTAGAAGGACTCTGGGAAGAAATGGAATCCACCTAATGAAGAGAGGGAAGAGCATCTTCACAGACAGGCTCTCTAACCTAGTGAGGAGGGCTTTAAAATTAGGTTTGCCAGGGAATGAAGACCAAAGCCCTGAGCTGAGGTAAGTGAGGAAGTGGGAGACCTGGAGGAAGAGCAAGCAGGAGGGGGCAACAGGGGAGGTATTCTCATACTTCCTGAGAAATCAGGGCAATCGACTAGTTACCTCAGGTGCCTGTACATGAATGCACGGAGCCTGGGAAACCAGCAGGAAGAACTGGAAGTCTTTGAACAGTCCAGGAACTATGATGTGATTGGAATAACAGAGATGTGGTGGGATAACTCACAGGACTGAAGCACCATCATGGATGAGTACAAACTGTTCAGGAAGGACAGGCCGTGGAGAAGATGAGGAGGAGTTTCACTTTATGTAAAAGAGCTGTATGATAGCTCAGAGCTCCAGAATGAAACTGGAGATAGGCCTGTTGAACGTCTCTGGGTTAGGGTCAGAGGGGAGAGCAACAAGGGTGATGTTCTGGTGGGCGTGTGCTATAGACTACCAAACCAAGATGAAGTAGTGGATGAGGCTTTCTTTAAACAGCTAGCAGAAGCTTCCCAACCAGAGGCCCTGGTTCTCATGGGGTACTTCAAATCACCCTGACATCTGCTGGGAGGGCAATACAACAATGCATAGGCAATCCAGTTAAAGTTTTTGGAGAGTACTGGGGACCACTTCCTGGTGCAAGTGCTGTAGCAGTCAGTTAGGGGCCACGTTCTTCTTGACCTGCTGCTCACAAACAGAGATGAACTGGTGGGGAATGTAGTAATGGGTGGCAACTTGGGCAGAAGTGACCACAAGATGATAGAGTTCAGGATCCTGAGGGAAGGAAGCATGGAAACCAATAGACTAAGGCTCTTGGACTTCAGAAAAGCAGACTTTGACTTGCTCAGGGAACTCATGGGCAGAATCCCCTGGGAAGCCAATCTGAAGGGGAGAAGAGTCCAGGAGAGCTGGCTGTATTTTAAAGAAGCCTTACTGAAAGTGCAGGAACAAACTATCTCCATGCGCAGGAAGACTAGCAAGTATGGCAGAAGACCAGCTCAGCTTAGCAGGGAACTCTTCAGTAAACTAAAGCACAAAAAGGAAGCTTATAAGTGGAAACTTGGACAAATAACTAGGGAAGAATATGAGCATTGCACAGGCACACAGGGATGAAGTCACGAAAGCCAAAGCACAATTGGACTTGCAGCTAGCAAGGGATGTGAAGGGTAACACGAAGGTTTTCTCCAAGTATGTCAGTAGCAAGAGGGGGATCAGGGAAAGTGTGGATCGCTTACTGAATGGGGGGGTGACCTTGTGACAGACTATGCAGAAAACGCTGAAGTGTTCAGTGCCTTTTTTGCTGCTGTCTTCACAGGCAAGGTTGGCTCCCAGACTACTGCACCAGGCAGCACAGTTAGGGGAGGAGATGAGCACCAGTGGTGAAAGAACACCTTAGGGACTACTTAGAAAAGCTAGACATGAACAAGTCCATGGGGCCAGATGGGATGCACCTGAGGGTGCTGAGGGACTTGGCTGATGGGATTGCAGAGTCATGGGCCATCATCTTTGAAAACTTATGGCAATCATGAGAGGTCCTGGATGACTGGAAAACAGCAAACACAGTGCCCAGTTTTAAGAAAGGGGAAAAGGAGGATCCAGAGTACAGACCAGTCAGCCTCACCTCAGTTCCTGGAAAAATCATGGAGCAGATCCTCAAGGAATCCATTGTGAAGCACTTGGAGAAGGCGGCAATTAGGAACAATCCATATGGATTCACACCAAGGTAAAGTCATGCCTGACCCAAGTTGATTGCTTTCTATAATAGGGTGACTGGATCTGTGGATGCGGGGAGACCAGTAGATGTGGTGTACCTTGATTTTAGCAAGGCTTTTGCTACGGTCTCCCACAACATTCTTGCAGGCATGTTAAGGAAGTATGGGCTGGATGAATGAACTGTAAGGTGGAGAGAAAACTGGCTGAAGCATCAGGTTCAGAGGGTAGTAATCAATGGCTTGATGTCTAGTTGGCAGCTGGTATCAAATAGAGTGCCCCAGGGGTCAGTCCTGCAGCTGCTTTTGTTCAATGTCTTTGACAACAACCTGGAAGATGACATTGAATGCACCCTCAGCAAGTTTGCAGACAACACCAAGCTGGGGGGAGTAGTAGGCATTGAAGAGTAGGGCTAGAATTCAGAGTGACCTAGACATACCGGAGGATTGGGCCAAAAGGAATCTCATGAGGTTCAACAAGGATAAGTGCAAAGTCCTGCACTTTGGATGGAACAATCCCATACATCAGTACAGGCTGCAGGCTGACTGATTGGGCAGCAGCTCTGCAGAAGAGGACCTGGGAGTTACTTTGGACAAAGAAGCTGAACATGAACCAGCAGTTTGCTCTTGTTGCCAAGGAAGCTAACAGCATACTGGGCTGCATTAGTAGGCATGTTGCCAGTAAGTAAGGGGAAGTGATTATTCCCCTCTACTCTGCACTGCTGAGCCCACATCTGGAGTACTGTGTTCAGTTTTGGGCCCCTCACTACAGAAAGGATGTGAAGGTATTGGAGAGTCTAGCAGAGGGCAACAAAAAAGGTAGGAGGAGGCGGGACATGACTTATGAGGAAAGCCTGGGGGAACTGGGTTTATTGAAGATGAGACTGAAAGGGGATTTAATAGCAGTTTTCAACTATCTGAAGTGGGGTTCAAAAGAAGATAGAGCTAGACTGTCCTCAGTGGTGGCAGACGACAGAACAAGGAGCAATGGTCTCAAGTTGCAGCAAGGGAAGTTTAGGTTAGATATTAGGAAGAATTTTCTCACTAGGAGGGTAGTAAAACACTGGAACAGTTTACCCAGAGAGGTGGTGAGATCTCCATCTTTGGAGGTTTTCAAGACCCAGCTAAACAAAGCCCTGGCTGGAATGATCTAGTTGGGAATGATCCTGCTTTGAGCAGGGGGTGGGACTGGATGACCTCTTGAGGTCCCTTCCAACTGTAACTTTCTGTGATATTGTTTCAATGGGATACTGATTTTTTTTCATATTAAGTACCATAAACTACATGACGAACAATTTATCTACAGTGAAAGACTTAGTGGGGACTTAATTAACACAGATGTGTTTTGTACCAGAGTGTCCAAGGAATAAGAGAATTTCAAATCTGAGGCTTAGACCTTCTCCCACTGCCAAAGGAGACACCTTCTCTGCTCTGGAGATCTTAAAGGCAGCAATCATACATGAAATCTGCTCAGACAGAACATTCCAAAGTAATATTTTTGCCAAGCCCAGCACACCGTACCTTGTGGCAAGGGTCGACAGTGCAGATCTCACTAATGTCCAGATCATGCAATGACATCAGTAGCTCTGCCCGCAGCGTGCAGTAATGGACGTTCCTCGTCCGAAGAAACAAAGTTCTTAGGAACTGTAACACCATGTCATAGAGCTTCACATTCTTCCCAATCATCTGTGTCAGTTTCTGAACCACCTAAAATTGGGGGGGGAAAAAAACCATACACTTTGTATCCAAGATATTATTACCATAGCTTTAGAAAGGTTGAATTCTTCAACTGTTGTAGAATACCAGAATTAAAATAAATGGTTGCTATTTCACACCAATTTTTTTCAATATTTCAACAGAATTTCTATTTCAGCTCATATTTTTCAAGTCTTTTACAGCTATAGTGGAAGAACATTAAAAATGCACGACATTTATAGGAAATTCTGTTCTCTTTGCCAAGCAGTGTGCTTCACTGCAACTAGATCAGTGGTAATCCCTTTTAATGTACATGATGCATTAATAACCACAATCAGGGAAAGATCATAAGTCACAAAGTTAAGACTGAAGCACATTTAATTGAAATACTTGCTATTTTTATCTTAGGGCTTTGCATTTTAGCCTATCACTAGCATATTCCACATAAAATCCAACTGCAAATGATAATACTAAAGCCCCTGGAAGATATTACGCTTATGACGAGATTAACCAGTTAATCACATCTTAAAATAGTAAACTGGCCAAACATTCATACAATTAATGGTACAACAGAACAGAGAATAAGCCACACAGTTATTACACAAAATGTGCGTAATAACTTTGTGGTTGGCTCCCATTGCTCCTTACATTTAATGTGTGGCCAGTGCTGATTAGCTGACTGGTGCTCCCTGCTGCAGGAGCACATCAGAGTTTGAAGGGCTCCACTGTGTTCCTTTGATTGGGAGCATCAGTCAACTGATTGGTATTCCAAACTAGGAGTATACCAGGCACCCAGCATGCTACTTGATGATGCAAGTGGAGCCAGGATCATGTTCCCCCTGCACCAGCAACAGGGTGTGGTTGGGATCCCATAATTGCGCCTCCTGTCATGCACGTGTAGCATAGCAAGAGGTGTGATTGTCAGGATCGCAATTCACATCCCACTGTGCCTTTAACTGAATGTCCGGCCTAAGAAGAAAAAAAAAAATCACATCATCCACAACTCCTGATGCTGCTTTCCTATTTTTACAAAAATGTTTTTTTTGGTTGGACTCTTATTGTATGCTGCTAATATGAAACAAAGAAAAATAGAGAAAAACGAAACCTTGATTTAAACATAGGTGCCCAGATATTACAGACAGTACATCTGGTATTATAATCCAGACTGATAAACAGATTCGGGGGGGGGGGAACATGATTTTTTTTTACTAGCTATTTAAGAGAAACTGCATTTACATTGTTTAACCTAAACATTAATCAATTACTGAACTCAGTGGGGCTTTAAAAATAATAAGTATTAGCCACTATATGTATTTACTAAATAAAAATTAATCTGATGATATGAGACTTGTAAAGACAGGTGGGTAAGTTATAGCTGGAATGGGTAGACAGAATGCTCATGTAAACTTTTTGCAGTTGGGAACACAGTTGTAAAGCCCAATGGAGACTCAAGTATCAGATCATGACAACAGAAGGACCAAACATGTTCGTATTATGTAACAGAAATGAAGGGTTTCTATTCACAACTCCCTTGTAACAGGTGTCCTTGCTCCTACCTCTCCCTGACGTCTTGTTTTGGGAGATGGACTAAAGAAGTTGTGCAACACAGAAATATCACTACTGAACAGAATGTTCTCTTTCTCCAAGATGTACTGCTTCAGCAATGGGGACACTTCATCACCAAATAGGGCCTGGTTATCCTGCCAGATCTGGCGCTTCACCTCCACAGCACAGGCTTTGTACAAATCCTTATCTGCCATCACTAACTTCAGCTTCTTTTCAGGGACCTACAAACAACAATGCAGAGTCAAAATGGTATTGAGTAGACCATTGGACAGACGTGAATCACAATCTTGGATGCATCTATGATTTCCATAGAGTAATTACCACCCAAGGAAACACAAATGACTTGTCCTTCCTTCCCCCTGCCTCTCTACATCATCGCTTTAAGGCATTTGGCTTCCTATAGAAACCAGAAAAGCCCTATGTTTTCCTCCTAGTTCTGAAGCAAGTATTTTCCTCTTTAAAAGGAGAACACTGCTATCTAGTGTGCCAATTCAAAATTCAACAGCCTACAGTAGCAGTTTTGAAGTAAGTACCTTCAAGATACCACCGTGCCTTATTTCCTTTTAAGTGGCTTTTCCCAGAAATCTTGCTGATTTATAAATTTGACCGGCTACTTAAAATCTTATTTTCACTTGCCATGAACATTGAAACTAGTTATAGAAAAGCTCACTCATCAGAAATCTTGCTCTGTTTTGTGGGGTGGATAGCTCATATACTTTTTAAGATTAGAAAGATGTCTTTTTCTAATTAAAAGCTTCTTTAGACAACATGAAATATTTCTGAACTATCCTGTACATCTGGGGTGGGCAAAATGCGGCCCATGGGCTGATGTGGCCCACCAAGCCATTCTATCCAGCTTGCAGGGCCACTAAAAAATTTAGAAAATTAATATTTATCTGCCCCTGGCTGCTTCTCATGTGGCCCTTGATGGCTTGCCAAAACTCAGTAAACGGCCCTCCGCCCAAAATAACTGCCCGCCCCTGCTATACATGCCACTGTTAACTTCCATCAGACTCAAGTAACTCATAAGCCAAATTCCTTAACAGCCAGCTACAAACTTAAAGACTTTCCATGTGGCATACAGCCCGTTTAACCACAGAGGCTGAAAGAGGCTGTAACCAGGAGAATTAGCCATATGCTCCTTTTACCTTAGGAAGGTGTTTCATGACACACATCACCACAGGCTGTATGGATGGCATCTTGACCAAGGAAAAGCTTTTCTCTAGAAGATCTTCCAGCTTCTTGTATCTAGAAAAATGCAAGCATGAGAAGCTGCTGATTAAAATATTCAGAGCTCCTAAGTGATTTAGGCACTCAGGCTCCATGGATTTTCCACTCAGTATGACTAAGTCAGTGGTTCCCAATCTTTTTAGACTGTGGACTGGTAAATTGCGAACCGCACCAAACTGCAGTATAAAAAAGGGTTGGCTGCTGGTCCACCATACGCTGGTCACTTCCAGACTTCCAGTCCGGCAGCCAACCCTTCGTGGCCTGGTACCAGGCCGTAGCCCAGGGGTTGGGAACCTCTAGACTAAGTCACACATACAAGAAGTTACTCAGGAGCCTATGGGACCTAGGAGCCTTTACAAATTGTATTTACTATGGCTAATTTAGGAGTTCTGGCAAATGCAGTGACTTAATCTTCAGCAGTAAGATTAGCAACACACCTTTCCTCAACCTTTCCTTCCGAGGCAATGGCTGAAACCCTCTCCAGCAGCTTCTCCCTCAGCTCATCAAACACAGACTGGTGGAACTCCAGGCGCGGCGTCCCGTGCAAGTCCAGGAACGGCAGTGCCGACTGCAGGGATGGCAGCAGGACTCCATTTTCTGTCTGCCAAAATGAGCACCAAGCAGGATGGTGAGTTGTAGCAGGAACACAGACTACTTACAGCAGGACAAACAGAGTGGTAACACAGCTTCTATCAATGTTGCCAACTCTCATGATTTTTGGTGTTGTTCTTAAAGCCTATGCTTTGTGAATGTGAAAACCTTAGCTCTTTCTTTTATATACAAGGGCTGCTCAAAAAGTAATCGAGACTAATGCTTAGGAAACAAAATATTTTATTTACAGGGGTTTTGGCTTAATGTCCTTCGAAGTACGCTCCTTCTCCAGCCACACACTTCTCGCAACGTTTCTGCCATTGTTGGCACCCCCTCTGATAAGCAATTTGTGGAATCGCTAAAAGCTGCTCAACTGCATTTCATTTTATGGTTTTCATATCACAAAATCTTCTTCCTTTCAAGGTTTTCTTTAGGTGAGGGAAGAGAAAAAAGTTGCACTGTATCCCAGAAGTGCCACAGCCTCCATATTCACCTGATATGGCCCCATGTGACCCTCACCTAAAGAAAACCTTGAAAGGAAGAAGATTTTGTGATGTGGAAACCATAAAACAAAATGCAGCTGAGCAGCTTTTAGCAATTCCACAAACTGCTTATCAGAGGGGCTTCCAACAATGGCAGAAGCGTTGCAAGAAGTGTGTGGCTGGAGAAGGAATATACTTTGAAGGACATTAAGCCAAAACCCCTGTAAATAAAATATTTTGTTTCCTACAGGACCAGTCTCAATACTTTTTGAACAGCCCTTGTATGTTTACCTATGCCCTATGCATCCCAATTAAAATAAATGGCTGTTATTTCACACCAAATTTTTTCAATATTTCAACAAAATTTGTGTTTCAGTTCATATTCGTCAAGCCTTTTGCAGCTATAGTGGAAGAACATTAAAAATGCATGACATTTATAGGAACTTCTGTTCTCTTTGCCAAGCAGTGTGTTCCATTGCAACTAGATCAGCAGTAATCCCTTTTAATGTACTTGATGCATTCACACCCATAATCAAGGAAAGACAGTAATAATCACAAAGTTACTGTCTCCAAGCAGTTTGCACAGGAGGAGCTACTACCCCACTGCAGTGTATATGGCACTGTAGGATTTTAAGGGCAGAGCTCCAGTCCCAGCTCAAGCTGCCCTGAAAGCTCAGCCCCTGCAGAGCAGCTTGGGCTGGGCCTGAGCCCTCTAGCCTGCTACAGCGCCAGGGGCACGAGCATGGCTGGATTTATACCTCACGTGCCCCTAGGCACACGTTCTTCAGCGCCACCTATCTACTCTGACTTTTGTCTTTTCCGAGCCAATATACATCAACATCTAGCACTCACCTGTACTGAGGGTAGTCCAATAGAACAGTTTCAAGCATGTATTGCGGTATATGGGAATGGACGCACTCTTTGCTGTCCCTATGTACAATACTATACATGATATATATTTTATTAGGATGATTATTTTTTTTTACCTCAATAAAAAATTGTAACACTAGAACGCCCGTGCCCCTGGGCACGTGCCTATTTTGCCTTATGGGTAATAGGGCCCTGGGCACCAGGCTTCTGCCCCCCACCAGCCAGCAGGAGAAGCAGGGTGCCTGGCACCTGCCGCCCTCCCAGCACTGCTCTCCAGAGCCACACAGGTGTCGTGTGTGCTGTGGGGGAGACAGGCAGGGGTGGTGGCCCCCTCAGAGGCAGGGAGGGTGGGCAGTAGGGTTGCCAACTCTGTTTGAATCTATTCTGGGAGGTTTCATCACATGATGTAACGAAATTAAGGACTTTATGTCAGGAAAACAAATACATGTGACTATTACATTTTGAAAATCCACTGGACAACCGTATGAATCAGATTCAAGAGGGTCCAGAGAAGAGCCACTTGTATGATCAGGGACTTGCAAGACAAGCCATACAAGGAGAGGAGAGGCTGAGGGACTTGGGCCTCTTCAGCCTACAGAAGAGAAGACTGAGAGGGGACTTGGTAGCGGCTTACCACTACATCAGGGGACTACATCAAGAATTCGGTGCACCAGGGCACCTTTGGGGAAGACCAGGAGCAATGGATACAAACTCCTGGAAGGCCGCTTCAGGCTCAATTCCAGGAAAAACTCCTTCACAGCTGGGGTGTCCAGACTGTGAAAAACTCACTCCAGAGGTGGTGCAGTCACCTATCCTGGAAATCTTGAAAAGGAGACTGGACAGTCACCTCACTGGGGTCACTTGA